GGGAGCCTGGCCCGTCTCGCTCGACCTCCCAGCCGCGGCGGGGCCAGGAAGGAGGTCCGGCCCGCAAGGCCCGGGAGCGGACAGAGGAGCCGGCGGCCGAAGCGGGGCCTTGGGCCAAGCGAGGCCGAAGGGAATGCAGGAGGACGCGGCCTCGGCCTCGCCTCTCGGCCGCGGGTTGCGGAACCGGCTGGAAGCGAGCAAGCGGGCCCGGCTCGGGCATTTGCGGGGCGGGAGAAAAATATTCCTTGCAACAGTTTAAAGGGCGGGGGGGGGGCTTTACCGCAATTCATTTGCCCCCCCCGAGGGTCGTAATTGTCTTCTTTCCCCCCCCCGCCGCCCTTTTTGCTCCCTTTTATTATTTTATTTCCACGCGTAGCGGGGGATTAACCTTCTCAAGGGGGAGAAAGCCCCCCCCCGCCCTTTCCTCCTCTCGCCCCCCCCCTAATGCGGCAGGGCGCTGCGCCTGCCCTCCTTTGCAAGAGGGCCCGATCCACCGCTTGGGAGTCTGGGCAGGTCTAGCTTCGCCTCTTCCAGGCCTTCTTCCCAACCGCTTCATGCTGACCAGCTTCGAAATAAAACAAAGGCATTTTTGTTTTTTTGTTTTTCTGGCCTGGTGAAAAGAATAGGGGTATTATATTACGAAATGTTTTCCTTGTTTAAAATTCTGACCGCTGCTCCTTTGGGATCGCGTGAAAAGTGATGTTTTTTTTTTAAAGAGAGGAATAAAATAGAAACGCTTTCTTTTAAATGCGAGGAACCCCCGGGGCATTTAGTGAGAAAATAAAGGACATAGGTGTCCCCCTTCCCCCCCCCATCAAACAGGCAAGGAGGTCTCCAGTTGATTATTCCCAGGATGGGAGACCACAAGGAAATCTAAGAAATTGAAAAAGCCTCTCAGTCCGATAACGGGGTGGGGGGGGGCTTCGTATTATTGCCAGAAACAAAAAGCAAACACAGCTAAAAAGTTTACAAAGATACTTTGCTAAACTGCAGAAAAGCAAAAGACAGCAGAAACACGTTATCGTATGCACGTATTTTTATTTGTTTGTTTTTGCTTTGTTTTTGTTTGTTTGTTTGTTTCTTGGAGAGAATATCCCTTTAAAGTTTGGAAAAACAGGAATATAATTTGTACAAGGCTGATTCTCGGACTAGATTCCCATCCCGGGCATAATTCAGCTCGCAAATTCGCTTCTGGATCCCTTCCGCATTTAGGGAAAAAGCTCCTGAAGCAATGAATCAAACTGGGAAAAATACGAATGGCTGAATTCCAGCAAAAAAAAAAAGGGGGGGGGACGGGACTTTAAGGCCACAGCAATTTCTTTCACGGGGCTGCTCGCATTTGAAGGAAAAGATTTTATTGTATTCCTCTCTTTTTTTAAAAAAAAAAAGCATCACTTTTCAGGCATTCCCAAAGGAGCAGCAGTCAGAATTTTAAATTAAAAAAAAAAACATTTCTTCCGGTTTTATTTCACCATTAAAAAAAAAAAATCAGATTCCTCCGCTTTTTTTTTTTTTAAAGCACTTTTCAAAAGCTTTCGTTTGTGCCTCTGCCGTTTTCTTCGACGAATAAAATCTGATTCCTGACTAAAATTCCTTCGGGAATTCTGGTTTTTGTTCGTTTGTTTGTTTTGTCTTGGAGATTCAACAGGGTTTTTTTTTCTTGTGGTGTTTTGCCAGCGTGAGTGAAAATGGAGCGGCCGAAACGGACCCGAAATTCTGAGGAATTTGGGGAAGAATCCGAACCGGAACGACTCTTTTCTCTCCTTCGGATCTGGGCCAGCAGCCGGCTTGAGGAGCGACATAATTGCACGGGACGGCGCTTCATTTAAACTTAGGGTAGTCTGCCAGCGGTTGCCTGACCTCGGTAGATGCCCCACGCGAAATAAATTCCACGGGGAAACGGGGGGGGGGAAGGTGGAGGACGTGCTGTTTCTCCCCCCTTTCTTCCTTAACGGCTATGGCAACTAGATGCGCAAAGGAGAAGGAGAAAAAGAAATGGTTTGAGGGGGTCCTAGGCCCCGGCTATCCGAGCCCCCAGGGAGAGGCTTTCTCCACGGCAGAGGGAGCTGGAAACGTTCCCCAACTAACGTGGTCCAGAACTAGGAAAAAACTGCCTGGGAGAAACGGGTGGCACCCGCCCACGCACCGACACACAGCATCCCCAGCTGGGGTGTGGAAATGACCTGGGTGGGGGGGGTGGGGAGGTGGGGGTCTTCCCCGTCTAGGAAGGCACCTTTGGCAAAAGTCCGAGGGTGCTTAAAAGGCGCGAGGGGGGGCGGTCTTCTGACTCATCCTTCTCTCCTCTCCTCTGTCTTTCTCTTCTCTCCTCTTCTCTTCCTTTCCCTTCTCCTTTCTTCTCCTCTCATCTCCTCTACTCTCTTTCTTTCTTCCCTTCCTTTCCTTTCCCTTCCCTTCCCTTCCCTTCTCTTCTCTTCTCTTCTCTCCTCTCCTCTCTTCCTTTCCTTCCCTTCTCTTCTCTCCTCTACTCTCTTCCTTTCCTTTCCCTTCCCTTCCCTTCTCCTTTCTTCTCCTCTCATCTCCTCTACTCTCTTTCTTTCTTCCCTTCCCTTTCCTTTCCCTTCCCTTCCCTTCTCTTCTCTCCTCTCCTCCTCTCCTCTGTCTTTCTCTTCTCTCTTCTTCTCTTCTCTTCCTTTCCTTTCCCTTCTCCTTTCTTCTCCTCTCATCTCCTCTACTCCCTTTCTTCCTTTTCTTTCCTTTCCTTCCCTTCTCTTCTCTCCTCTCTTCCTTTCCCTTCCCTTCCCTTCTCCTCTCTTCTCCTCTCTTCTCCTCTCATCTCCTCTACTATCTTCCTTTCCTTTCTTTTCCTTTCTTTTCCTTTCTTTTCCCTTCCCTTCCCTTCCCTTCCCTCCTCTCCTCCCCTCCCCTCCCCTCCCTTCCCCTTCCTTTCCTTTCCTTTCCTTTCCTTTCCTTCCCTTCCTTTCCCTTCCCTTCCCTTCCCTTCCCTTCCCTTCCCTTCCCTTCCCTTCCCTTCTCTTCTCTTCTCTTCTCTTCTCTTCTCTTCTCTTCTCTTCCCTTCCCTTCCCTTCCCTTCCCTTCTCTTCCCTTCTCCTCTCCTCTCCAACCCACCTCGCCCCTTCCCCGAATTTAAATCCTCCACCAGCCCAGGCAACCTCTGCCTGCATCCGAGAAAGTGAGCCGCGGGCCCTCGCTCGCCTCTTGCCTTCGACTCGAAGGGGTCAGTCGGAAAAGGGGCGACACCCATACACCACTCACTCCTCCCCTTAGCGTTTTGAAACCCTGAGAGTCTTCCAAGGGGATCCCGCGTTTCCCCCAGGCGGAAGACTACAGCCAAGCTTCTTCTTCCGTAGTTCTGATTACAGTTAGTCGGAAAAAAGGCGCTCTCGGCTGGGTGCGCCTGTCTGCGCCCAAGAGGCAGCGCCGGGCAGTGGGGAAGGTGCTGCGCTAGGATCGGGTCCTCCTTCGGGCGCGGGAACCAGCTGGGTGGCTTTAGGACCAGCGCCGCCCCCCTCTCTTTGCCCCAAACGTTGAAGGCGAAAGTTTTCGTCCTGCAAACCCGGGCAAGGTCACGTGTGAATGAGGATCTACCCTTTTCTCTCGAAATAGATTGGTCGGGCCTGGTTAGAACAAGAAGCAGCTTGAGCAGGGCCAGAGGCCGGCGAGCAGGGCCGCGGACTCCCTCCGTTGCACCGGGGAGGCTTCCCAGGACTCCTGGGGGTTATTCGGGGGCAGCCTGTCTGTGCAACCCGTTGGCCTCGCATTTTCCCAGCTCAGCGGATGGATGGATAGATGGGTGAATGGGTGAATGGAGATGTGGAGGAAGGGAAGGGAAGGGAAGATAAGGGAAGATAAGGGAAAGGGAAGGGAAGGGAAGGAGAGAAAGAAGGAGAAGGAGAAAGGGAGGGAAGGAAAGGGAAGGAAAGGAAAGGAAAGGAAAGAGAAGGGAAGATAAGGGAAAGGGAAGGGAAGGGAAGGGAAGGAGAGAAAGAAGGAGAAGGAGAAGGAGAAAGGGAGGGAAGGGAAGGGAAGGGAAGGAAAGATAAGGGAAGGGAGGGAAGGGAAGGGAAAGAAAGGAAAGGAAAGATAAGGGAAGGGAAGATAAGGGAAAGGGAAGGGAAGGGAAGGGAAGGAGAGAAAGAAGGAGAAGGAGAAGGAGAAAGGGAGGGAAGGGAAGGGAAGGGAAGGAAAGGAAAGATAAGGGAAGGGAGGGAAGGGAAGGGAAAGAAAGGAAAGGAAAGATAAGGGAAGGGAAGATAAGGGAAAGGGAAGGGAAGGGAAGGAGAGAAAGAAGGAGGAGGAGAAAGGGAGGGAAGGGAAGGAAAGGAAGGGAAGGGAAGGGAAGGGAAAGGAAAGGAAAGGAAAGGAAGGAGAGAAAGAAGGAGAAGGAGAAAGGGAGAGAAGGGAAGGGAAGGGAAGGAAAGGAAAGGAGAAAGGGGAGAGGACAGGATAGCAGAGGGGAGAGGGAAGGGAAGGGAAGGGAAGGAGAGAAAGAAGGAGAAGGAGAAGGAGAAAGGGAGAAAGGGAGGGAAGGGAAGGGAAGGAATCAACCCCCAGGAGGCGCTTCCTGGCCTGCATCCCCGAACAGCGGAAAACGGGCCGGGGGGGGGGAAGGGGGGCAACCATCCCGCTCCTCCAGCGCTGCTCTGACCGGGTGTTGCGGCCCCCCCCCCGGCCTTTCTTTGTTCGCCAACGAAGGAACCGGGCAGGCCCCGCGAGCAGGAAATTACGTGCGGGGGGTGTAGCCCCCCGCGCCCCCCCCCTGCGCGCATATCTCGTTTCCCACCCCTCCCCCGCCCCCAGCTTCAGGGAGGGGGAGGCTGGCTCAGCGCAGGCGGACCGAGCTGCAGGGGCGGTGCTGGGGAGGACTCTGGACCAGATTCTCCCCCCTCCCTCCCTCCCCCCCCCGCGGCCGGGGTCTCCTGGAGCCGGGGATGGTCCAAGCCGGGCTGGCGGGGGCGGGGGCGGGGGCGGGCGGGGCGGGGGGGGGGAAGGCAGGGCTTGCTGGCTGCGCTCGCCCGCTCGCCCTTCGCTCATCAGAGGGAGACGGTGCGCAGCTGGCAGGGGCGCAGCGCGGGGATGGAGACGGGAGGAGCGCGCCCTCCGGCCGGCGGGACGGGAGACGTTTGACCCGCCGCACCGGCCCGGCGGGGGGGGGCCAGGCATGGCTGAGAGTCTCGCAGGGGGTCGGACCCGCCGCGCTTCTCGCTCCCCCGCCGCCGCCAGGATTCCTGCAGCTTCTCCACGCAGCGGGGGCTTCTAAGGAGAGGCGGCTCCGGGACCTCGGGGGGGGGGTCGCTTGGATCCGGGGCAGCCGGAGGCCTCCAGAGCGGGAACCCTGGCCGAGCTTCGCCGGGCCCCATGCCGCCCCCCTGGACTTCCCGCTCCCCTGCGGGCCAGCCAAAGTAGCCGGCAGGAAGAAGGGGGTCTGCGGAGAAAGCGCCCATGTTCCACCCCGGCTTGAGCGAGGCGGGCAGCGGCTCTGGCAGACGCGCCCTACCCCGGGGCCAGCCCGGGGCAGCCTCCGAGCGGGCGCGGGGCAAGGAGAGCGCCAAGGGAGGAGGAGGAGGAGGAGGAGGAGGAGGAGGAGGAGGGGAGCTCCAGGACCTGGCGGCGGGGACGTCGGCTTCCAGCGCCCCTTCCCAAGAGCCCACCCCGGAGAGCGGCAGCCACTCTCCCGCGGGCGAAACGGATTACTGCCGCCGGATCTTGGTGCGAGGTAAGGGGGCCGCGCGGGTCGACGAGGGCGCGCCATCCCTGGTGGCTTTGAAGAAGAGGCTGGGCAGCCACCTGTCTGAAACGGTAGAGGCTCTCCTGCTCGAGCGGGGGGTGGGTGGGGTGGGCGGGGGCTGGACTAGACGACCTCCAAGGTCCCTTCCAGGTTTATTCTGATTCTGAGCTCCCCGCGTTAACTTCCTCCGTTTCGGAGGCTCCCAGCCTAGCAATTCCAGAGGTAGGAGGGCGTTTGTAGACATTCCCCCCCACACACACAGCAGCGCCTTCTCGACTTTTTCTGCCCCCCCCTCGCCCAAAGACCCTCCAAAACAGGGCGCTCCCTGCCCCCGCCCCACCTAACCGCTCGCGTTTTCCAGCCAAACGTGGCCGGTCTTTGCGACCCTAGTGAGCTCTCCCCCCCCCGGCGCGCGCCCCTCTTTCAGCCCCCTCGGATTCCGGGTTCCCCTTGGGGGCTTCCTTGCCCCCTGTCGCTCCCTCCCGCTCCCCCCCCCCAGCAATTGGGGGTCTCGAACTGGCTGCGCTCCCTTCTCCGAGGCAGCTGCCTTTTCGGGCCCGGCGCCTGGTCCTTCTTCCCGGGCTCCCGCTTAGCCGCCCTCGTGCCCCCCCCCCGGGTCCCTTTTCGGTCGCCTGCCCCTCCCCCCTCCCCCCAGCCCCCACTTCCACGCACCGGCTGGATTTCTGCTGGTGCATTTTGGATGCTGGGGCGGGGGGGGGGAGAGAAGAGGAATGGAGACGGAGCTCAGGCGAAGATTTTTCTCGCGCGCGTCTGTGCGTGTGTATTTGTTTATATTGGTGTGTGTGTGTACCTGTGTGTGTGTGTGTGTGTGTAAATGAGGCTGGAAGACCTCCAGGGGGTGAAAGGCCAAATTGTGTTGGGTCGTCTTTGCAGTCCGGCAATTAAGGGGGGGGGCGATTGGGGAGAATCGCTCTTGCCCACATCTGCTCCCCCCCCAAGCTGCCCGGCCTTCTTGGGGGGGGGGGAAACGGGGCGTGAGCGCGCGCGCGTCCCCGCCACCAGCCTCGTCGCAGGGAAACGGCGTCACCGCGGAGCTCAGAGACCCCAGCGCGGGGTTCTTCTTCCCCCCCCATCGCTTGGTCTTCACCAAGAGAAACACCCCCCCCGCCCAGGTCATATGCCCCTTCTCCCCCCCCCTCCGGGTTGAAATCGCCTTTGGCAAGCCGCCGCCTTTGGGAAATCTTTGCGCCACGCTCCCCATCATCCCCAGCAGACGGGAGGGGGGGGGCTTGGCTGGGAAGGATGGAAACGGGAGTCCCGTAGACCAGCTCGCGGGAGGTGGGCAGGAGAGAGAGGGGGGGGCGCTGGTATCAGCGAAGGGGCTTTGCCAGTCAGCCCCCCCCCAGCTGGGTCGGCGAGCCGGTTCGGTGGAGGATGTGATTGCGGAACAGCCTCGGAGAAAAGGGGGGGGGAGAAGCGGGGCGGGGCAGACACCTCAAGAAGAATGGCTTGGATCTGGCGGGGGGGGAAGGGGAGGAGGAGGGGGAGGGAGGTCTCTTGGAGGAGGGGCTCTGGGTTCCCCGTGGCGACCCTCTCCCAGGCCCAGAGGGTTCCTTCACCTGGGGGGGGGGAGGGTTCCGCGTCCTGTCAACTTCAGAACCCATACCGGGCCCTGCGCTTGGTGTGGCCGGACCGCGCCCCCCCCCCGCGTCCTTCCCTTTCCGTACCGGCTCGGGCGATTTGCCGTGGGACCCCTTAGGAGACCCCTGCCGCCTTCCCCAGATTACTTGGCCGAGGTTGTGCGCTGCGATCAGGGTGTGTGTGTGGGGGGGTGTCCTCGCCGTGAAATCTCCCCCCCAAGTTGATGAATCTCGGAGGGGAGACTGACCCAGCCTTTGGGGCGCCTGGGGGGGGAGTTTACCCAGCTCAACCCTTCCGGTGGGGAACGGGGCTGACTTCGCTCTTCCCCCCCCTTCGGTTCTCGGGTGAAATTCCGGGGGGGGGGGCAGCGGCGATCGGAGGGGCTGTTGGCTGGAGCCCAGCAATTGTTACAAGTGACCCAAAGGGCCGCCAAGGTCCAAATGGGGGGGGTCTCTGCTGCTCAGGCCCAGAAGCGTCTGAATTGCCCTTTTCGGACACCCCCAAACTGCAAGCTCTATTTCAGTGGGCTATTTACCCGGGAGGGGGGGGTCGCTTACAAATGCGAAGGTGAATTTGGGACCTCTTACGTTACACCCTGTTGGAGAAAGAAATCCTGGAAAACGGAGGGGCTAAAATATGCCCTTTATGGGTGGAGTGCCGGTTAAAGGGCAAGGAGGGGACGGAAGAGAATTATTACTACTAGTAGTAACGCTACTAGTAATAATTCTCTAGGAGTAGTAGTATTTATTAACTGCCCAACTGCCATACGAAGGAAAGGAAAGGCGCCACTGAAAGGGAATTATCACTACTAGTAGTAGTAATGTTGAAGTCATAATATAGCTAATAGTTCTAGTACAATAGTATGCTATTCTTACTAATGCTAGTAGTAATAATTCTCTACTAGTAGTGTTTGTTAGCTGTCTGTCATAGGAAGGGAAGGCAAGGAGTCACCCGAAGTGAATTATTACTACTAGTAGTAATATTAGCGTAGTACTAAATAGTTAATAGTTGTAGTGTTTACGTAGTGTATATAGAAGGTGGTGACTCTTTGAGAGCTGTATGCAACGAAATTTCATTTTAATGTATGCTGATTATTGTACATTCAAAGTGACAATAAAGTTGCTATTCTATTCTACTCTATTCTATTCTCCAATATTTATTCTATTCTATTCTATTCTATTCTATTCTATTCTATTCTATTTTCCAATATTTATTCTATTCTATTCTATTCTATTATCCAATATTTATTCTATTCTATTCTATTCTATTCTATTCTATTCTATTCTATTCTATTCTATTCTATTCTCCAATATTTATTCTATTCTATTCTATTCTATTCTATTCTATTCTATTCTATTCTATTCTATTTTCCAATATTTATTCTATTCTATTCTATTCTATTCTATTCTATTCTATTCTATTCTATTCTATTCTATTCTATTCTATTCTATTATTTTCTAACATTTATTCTGTTCTGTTCTGTTCTGTTCTGTTCCACTCCAGAAGATGGTAGAGGACAGGAAGGCTTGGAGGAACGTTGGGGTCGGACACGACTTTGCAACTAACAACAACATTCCATTCCATTCTAGTATAATAGCTAGTATGCTATTAGTTATTACTAATCCTTGAAGTAACAATTCTCTACTATTAGTAGTAGTATTTATTAGCTGCTCAGCTATAATACGAAATAGAGGCTCTCCGTCTTGTCCCTTTGTGTGCAAAACCGTTGCTCTCGGGTGTTGTGCAAAGGAAAGCGGCCGAAACGGGGGCTCCTCCACCGTTTCCCAGCGCCAGAAGGCCCCTTCCGTTTCTCTTCTGTTTCCCCCTCGGAATTGGGGAAGGGGAGGCAGTCCAGGGTCCGGCTTTTCCTTCTCTTCCCCTCCAAGGCTGCGGACCGGGGGTGGGTGGGCTGGAGAGAAAGCGACGGAGGGGACCCCCGGAGCCAGGCCTGTCCGCGCTCCTTCCAACGAGGCCTCTTTCCGTGGCTCCGTCTGCCCGCGCCTCTCCCTCCCTTTCCTCCGTCGCCCTCATGAAGGTGCCTTGTTGTTGTTGTTGTTAGTTGCGAAGTCGTGTCCGACCCATCGCGACCCCATGGACAACGTTCCTCCAGGCCTTCCTGTCCTCTACCATCTTCTGGAGTCCATTGAAGCTCACGCCTCCTGCTTCAGTGACTCCCTCCAGCCATCTCATTCTCTGTCGTCCCCTTCTTCTCTTGCCCTCCATCTTTCCCAGCATTAGGCCCTTCTCCAGGGAGTCCTTCCTTCTCATTAGGTGGCCAAAGGACTTGAGTTTCACCTTCAGGATCTGGCCTTCTCAAGAGCAGTCGGGGTTGATCTATTCTAGGACTGACCGGTTTGATCGCCTTGCAGTCCAAGGGACTCACAGGAGTCTTCTCCAGCACCAGAGTTCCAAGGCCTCCATTCTTTGGCGCTCGGCCTTTCTTAGGGTCCAACTTTCACGGCCATACATTGCAACTGTGAAGGCGCCTACTCGGACCTAAAGGCCTGGTTTCCCCCCCCCCCCGCCTAGAAACTGGACCGAGCTTGTTTGGATTTTTTTTCCACCAGACCTTTCCTGCTTCCCCTTCCCCCCAAAATGTGTCGCCTGGGCCGTATTTGCAACTCCCCCAGCCCGCTGCCCCATTATTTATTCCTCCCAGGCCTCCCCAGAAAACAAACGAAGCGTCTTTAGTGAATTTTTTTTAATTGAAAAGTTTTATAAAAATTACAGTATACACCCCAAAACCTACCCACCTTAATCCCCCCCCTCTCCCCAGAGCTGAGTACAGGGTTACAAATATAATAATCAAACTCTAACTAACATTAACCAACTATATAAATAACCAAGTCCATAATGCGCTTTAACATAGGTATCAACAAATTAAAAATAAACCTAATAATATAAACAAGTCAATATTATTAAACAATACAATATCTTTAGTGAATTTGAAAGAAACACGTAGTCGACAATTCGGTTTGATTCTTTCGCCGCGTTTCGCGGTTGAAATCTTGGAGCCGTTTGCCTGGGTGGGGGGGGGGAACCGTCCGGAGATCAGGCGCGTCGGCCTTTCGATCCGGTGGTTTTCGGGGGATCGCTGGAGATTTTTTGCACGGGTTTGGTTGGACCCAACGAGGCTTTGGCGCGGGCGTTTGCCAGGAGACCCACACGCGAGCCCACGTGCAGCCTTCCCTTATAGTCCCTGGCGTGGGTGACGACCCCTCCTGTCTTTACCCAATTTATTTTCGATATTTTTATATTTTTTAAAAAATCCTCAGACTTATATAAGCTGCCCACCTCCCGGCCAACGACTCTCAGTGGCGCACGGCAAAGTTAAAACTAAGTAGCTCTTAACGATTTTATGGCGAATGTATTTTTATGTTGATTAT